TGAGGCAAGAGGACTGCAAGTTCAAGTCCAGAGTGGGGTATAGAGTAAGTCCAAGGTCAGTCTAGGCAACCGAGTGAGGCACTGAAAATAAAATGCAGTAAGAGTTAGAGATGCAGCTCAGTGCCGCAATGCTTAGTGCAGGAGGCCCTGTGGATACTGGGATTCTGTGTGGAGGGAGAGAGAGAGGGAGAACGAGGGACAGAGCGCTCCAGGACCTGGAGACAAAGAGCCCAGTGCCCTGGCAACTAGCCCCCTAGTTGCAACAAGGCATTGTGATCTAACCTTGGGACTGCTGAGAGGACTTAGTAGCATGAAAGCTGGGAACAGTTTGAAGAGCAACTGGCCTTTCCCAGGCTGAAATTGGCTTTCTGGTTGTCTCCTTGAACACCCAGAGCAAAGATGGATGGTGCAGCCCTAGGCATGAGACCCTCAAAATGTCTAAATGGTGGTCCAGACCCTGGTTCATAACATTGGTCCAGCTGAACTTCCAAGGCTGTGGTAGGGAGTCTGCTTCCTGGTGAGGCGGGGAGGGGAAACACAATGCTGAAGACAGATGGACCACGTCAGCCCATGCTTGCTGAAGCTTCCCAGCATGTCTTCTTCTCGACCTCCAGAGCTAGGACACAGGGCTCCATGAGGTAACATGCGCTCAGAGGACACGTCCCTGTATGCACAGAGCCCGCCACAATCAGGCCCCTCCACCTCTCCCCACCCTCCAAGTTTTTAAGTCTTCCCCTTCCTTCAAGCTCTCTCTGTCTCTGCTGTCACACACCCCACCCCCAACCCCTTCAAGGCAGCACTCAGGTCCTGTCAGAATGTAGAAGAGCCAGTGCTGAAGGATAGGGACATCACCCTAAACCAGACCAGGCTCCTCTAGGAGGGAAGGAGGTGTGGTCAGTGCCCTGGGTAGATGTGAGGACACGCCAAAAGACAGCAGCCAATAGAGAACTGTCCTCACCTGTGCTTCTCTTCCTGTTGCCTCAGGCCGGCCAGGGCCTGGAAATACAGAATGAGAAGTTCTAGAATGAACTATTAAAATCATGTGCTGTTCTGAGTGTCCTGATAAAGTCTCCCACCACCTCCACTCCATCTGGACCACAGTCATCTCTTCACACATTGTATCCACGTAGTATACGCTACCCTCCCCTCACTCTCTTAGAGCTTGATGAAAAAAGAAAAACACATTGTAGATAGAATTAAGGATGATCCAGGATTTAGGATTCCACTCTGGGATCTGGAATGTGTCCCTGTAGATAGGGAGGTGGTTATGTTCAACTTGGCTTGAGAGGACTTGGCTAATGAAAATACGAACTAAGGCAATCTGCTCAACCACTAACCTCAGCCGGGCACACGCGTCTAAGGGACCCGCCCAGACAGCAGTGGCGATGGATGGGGACGGGGTATGGGATCCCCAGGAGT